TTATGGTTTTCTAGGGGGATTTTGCCTACCTCAGTTTGATCCTGAATTTCTGATAGTACAATGTCACCTGGTATCTGATTGGTAGATACGAAACACGTTAGTAATTAAATGTAAATAAGCTCCTATAGGTTATATTATGTATTCTGATGACATCATTGATGATAGTAAGAGTTGATTGGTGCCCTGTGTTCACCCCACTTCTTCAATTGAATCAATTTACAGATCAAGTACTATGAAGCCAATAAGATACAAGCAACAAGTCCTCTGGTAGTGAAAAAGCTACTATTTGTTCAAGCTGAAATCTTTCTTTCCTATCATTCCGGTCCAGCAAAGTTTAAGACCAAGGTCTCTTTTTTATCCCATTTAGGCAATAAGACTAAATGGTGTCTAGTCCATGCTAAGCTCCAACCTTTTGGTTACAGTTGAAAATGTATTTTCCTAAAAGTTGTTAAAGAATATTGTAATCAATGAGGATTTCCATTATTGCTTTTACTTTTCTATCATTACAAGGCAAAAGGATTATTGGCAAATCTGGTCTTTTGGGTAATGGAAGATGTATATTAGTAAAATTCCTTTAATTAGGTGTGGTTGCTGAAAGGTATCACATTGAAACAAGATAGTCTAGTTCTTACTAGGTTACATAAGAACCTGGGTCCATTATAAGTTGTCTCTCTACTGCAGGTGGATAAAAAATCACTGCCCAAAGAAAGTGGAGACCAAGTATGTCCTGGAAGTAAAGGCTCCTACTAGACAATAAGTCTTCTCAGATAATACACAAGAAGGAAATTAAGATCAAGAATAGATAAGTTTTTCAGACGGTCAAGAAAAGAAAGGATATCTCAATTAGGTATTTCTTATTGAGAAAAGGTCTTGAAAAGCAAGTCTTTGGAGGAAGCTGGAAATATTTTTTTCAATTTTACTCTTCATTTTCTTGTTGTTTACTTAGACATTTTTAGACATCTCGCTTTTCTTTTTTTTCAACCCATCCTTTTGTAGTTTCCTGTATTCCAGTGACTTGATCAGACATATGGCAGTAACAATCTACTGGCAATAATGCAGTGGACTAGGAGAGTCTTTATCCAAAGACACTGTGGAGTGAAATATTGTTTCTAAGATCAAACTTAGAGGCTTTTATGCTTACGACGAGTTAGTTAAATTAGAATAATAGTTTATATATAGTATATATCATGTTGCTCGAATAAAAATATACTTTTGTTTTTACTTGATTAATAAACTGATGATTTAATTTGGCTATAGGTACTCAAAAAATAAAAAAAATATAATATTTTCAATATTCTATGAACAACTTTGAAAAAGAATATTCAAAATATATAACAGGTTTTAAATTTATTGTATATATCAAAAGTTGAAAGTTAAAAAAAATAAGAGATAACATCAAAACTATTTTAAAATAGTGATATAATAATTTCAAACCAGACAAAGATAAATGATTGATTTTTTAATTAATTAAATTATAAATAAAATAGTATTTAATAGAATTAAAATCAAGCAAAATGTCAATAAATATATTATAATACAAAAAGATAAAATAAAATAAAAAAATAAGATATTATTACCTTGATACTTTCAAAAAAAGAAAAATCAATTATAATAGCTTACTAGAAATTGAAAAAAAAACACAAATCCAAAAATACTGTATATTTAAAAAACTTGATATAATGAACTAATCAAATCAATCTTATAAAAAAAACTTAATAAAATATTATATATATTTTTAAATAACAAAGAAGGCCAATTGAATTAAAAAACTCTTTCTACTGATTCACTTTTTCCTTAAATAATTTCTTTTTTGATAATTTTCTTGAAAAAAAAAAAGCCAGTTTAATACTCTTTATCCTTCAAAGATTTGAGACTTAACAATAGACTATAATATTCAGTCACTTCTCTAAAGATTACTTTATCAATTAAAAGAAGTATAGGTAGTACAACATCATTTTAGCTCTACTTTACTTTACTTTACAAAGAAAGAAAAGTATATCCACAAGTTGATTCATAATAAGCTTAGGAGAGCCCAATATCAACTTCTCAAGCTTTTAGCCAGGCCAATGTTGGTTTATACCTTTTTAGGTACTAGAAGGAACTTTATTAACAATAGTTTTTATTGATAAATTAAAAAAAACTCAAAGTTTATAAAGTCTAGAAAAATATCAAAAGCTCCTAAGAACTAAACAATAGAGTATCCTAATTCTATATATATTTGTTTAAACAATAAAACAAGTTATACAAACATGTATGTATCAAATAAGTCAGTATCAAAATAGTATAGTAAGATTTGCTAAAAGTTTATAAACAAACAGTCTATTCTTCATAACAAAGAAGATCAATAACCATTCCAGTAAATAAGCAGATCAAAATAGAAAGGATCTAAAGATAGGTTCCTAAAGGAGAGACAGGGACATAAGTCAAATATCTTTCACTAGAAAACATTAAAATTTTTAAATTAATAACTATAAAAAACTATTCACAATTGTTCTTCATTATCTAAATCATTGATTTATAGCATTTCCTGACTTTTGTCCCTATTAAAGTAAAGAGCCATGAATTTTGTTTCTCAAAAAAGGATATAAGTAATCTGTGAAATTTTATATATTAAATACTTTAAAGACCTATCATTAGAAGAATCAATAATTTATTTGAGTAAACAATATTCTAAACAAGACAACAAACAAGTAACCTTGCAAATCTTGCTAAATATAAATAAATAAAAAAGATAAACAAAACAATAAATTAGCAATTTATTCTTCTTTATATATGATCAATATAATAAAGTAATCAAAAATTATGTAAATTGTAAAGAAGAGTGAGCTCCATATTCTTGATACAATAGTTAAAATAGTTAAAAAACATAATCAAAGAAAAAAAATATAGGCTACTCAAATTATTTTCAACATTCTCACTATATAAGACAAGTCCAATCAGATATCAGGACCAGTAAAATACTTGATACTTAATAGTATTTTTGTAAAAATTCTAAATTTAAATCCAACTACATTTATTAAAACTTAAGTTCTTAAACAGTATATTCTATATCTATGGAAACAAGATTAAGAAAAAGAAGAAGACCTTATGATATCTTTCTTGAAGGAAAAAGTCAAGTATATCTTGAAACAAGTTATTATCACAAATGATTTTTTTTTTATTTTCCTGAAACTTTCCAAATCAAGAGTAAGTTCACAAACCCTATAATAGAAAATTCAACCTCAGATGAGAATACTTTTTCAAATGAGGATATAGAAGTTTAACTAATAATTAAGATTGAAATTCTAAAGAACATCAAAATTGAAATGAGTGATAAAGAACTGAAGAAAAAGTTTGAAGAAGAATTTGAAATAAAAAATATCTAGAAAAAAGTTAAATAAGAAAATATAATAGAACAAACTTTTTACAATATATAAAATTAATTCATGTCATCCAGCCCAAATCCATTTCATATCACTAAAAAAAAAAAAATTCAAGGTTAGAATTTTTATCTTTAGAATACCAGGAAATATAAAAAAAGAATGAATAGTCTATCTTTAAAGTGCTCTAAGTCTATGATTAAGTTTATTCTTAATAAAAGATATGTATCTAATATCAGTTGCAGTTTAACAAAATAATAATAATAATTAATATTATACTAAAAATTTAATTATTCTTTTTATATTAAGTTAATTATTAATAAAGTACTTATATTTAATATTAGTTAAAGTTTTAAAAAAATAAAAAATAAAAAATTTTTTTTAATTTTTATTATTTTATTTTTTTTAAATAATTTTATTATAAATAAAAGTCTCTTATATCTAAATAGTTTATATTACCATTAATTTTAATAATTATTAATTTTTGGTTTTTTTATCAATAAAAAAAATCATATGTTTATTATTTAATAAATATTAATTCTAACAATAATAATTAATTTAAAATATAATAATAATATATTTTAATTATATTCAATTTATTGTAAAAGTTTTTATCAATAATATTATGTAATAAAATATAATATGTTTCATTATATTAAATCTGTTAGTAGAAAAAAGTTAATTATCTATTAAACTATTTATAATTCTTTTTTTATTTATTTATTTATTTTTTTTAAATATAATTTATTATATTTCTTAATTTTTTTCAAACTAGTTGATCTTTAACTCTATCACTATACTAAATATTTAGAAAATAAAGACATCAGTAAATTTTTTGTACTCATTTTTTTATCTGGAAAGTAACGGAATTATTGTTGTTTCTATTTGATAATACAATGTTTTTAAAGATTGCTTTAATACTTTTATCTTTAGTGAGAATAAGTTGAGTTCTATATTATTTTATATCTATTTTTGAATAGTTTTATCACTTCCAAGGATAGTTGCACTTTGTGTTTTTCTTTAATCGAGTATCGCATTTTTTGATGACATGATTATGTTGTTAAATAATTTTCTGGTTCGTTCCAAGTATGTTTGTGAAAAAAAATTCATAAACCATTTTTTTTACGAAAGTGGGGGGGGGTTTCTTGAATTTATGATATTAAATTAAAAATAATAATATAATTTATTTGAATTGATACGATACTAAACAATTTTGAATTTTAATAAAAAAATATTTACAATATAAAACGATTAATTAAAAATTTTAATAATTCGTAATAATTAATATAGTTGCTATTAAAATAATTATTTAACTTTGAAGAGACAGAATTTGTCTAAAGAAATTGTTGACTAACTGTTATATAGCATATTTTCCTGCAACTAATGTGAAATATCCACTTCACAAGCATCTTTTAGTCTGTTACTTTGACTAATGAACGAAAGTCATTATCCCTATAGGTCTCAAAATTTACTAGGAACGTAGAAAATAATTACAAATATCTTATAAATTTTCTCGGCGAAATAATCATTTTGTCATCGAAAGAGAATTTTCCTTGGAAAGGGTAACATCAAGTTAAAGAAAATGATAACTACATCCGTCAAAATATTAATGCATGGAGGTGGCAACTGTAGTTACTGCGTCTAATCATCAAAGTCATAAGAGTCATAATCGCATTCTTTTTCACATTCCAATTCCTGGACCTGTTACCATAGAAAAAAAAATATGCAAAAATTGGTCTTAGAATCATTATTCACGTGTATCCCATCATGACAATCTTAATGAAAATACCGATTCACGCAAATCTTCAAATCGTTCTTTTGCTGATTCCACCGCCTCACCGGCAAAAAATCCGCCTATTAGCCCTGCACCTGCAGCCCCTAAGTAATTAATAAAAGACAGAGAATGATAAATCAAATTATTTTATTATATTAGTTAGAAACGTTAGCGTTGGCAGATTTACCCGCCACGGCCAATCCTTGTTTTAATTTATTCTTTTTTCCGGAATCTTGTGGTGATGCAAAAGACGCCTGGCCACTTTCATATGGCATTTGCGATTGTGGTGGGTACTGATAGTTTGGTGGAGGAACACCATAATTTGGAGGGGGTGGACCGGAAGGATAGTATGAAGTTTGTTGATAAGGTTGCGTCGGACCAAAGCCCATTTGCTGGGGAAGAGTATATTGTGGTCCGCGACCATAGTTGGAGTCCGGTACATATGCTGACTGTTGACTTTGTGAAGGTTCCGGTTGGTAAGGAGGAGGTAGACCGAGACGCTCAATTCGAGGATCGTACTTTATAATTTTGGGGGGAGGAACATTACTTAAGTAATAATTCATCTTTTTTAGCTTATGAAAGAAGTAAGAATACCCAGGTTGTTGTCCTAGAGCTATGATTCACATCTGTGTCCGTCAAAGAAATTTTTTCAGACATTTGATCGCACAAAGAAAGAAAACAAAATTCGCAAGAATAACTTACAATAAGGACGATTACGAGTAAAATCAAACTGAGTAGAATGTGGAAAGAATAAAATTAATGCTGTGTGGTATATCTCGAAGATCACGTTTTCCTTTATTAACCTACCCTCTCCTCCCATCCTGCAGGTAGATCTCTGGCCATTTATTCTAAAGTCTTTTTTTTATAAATGTTAAAAAAAGTTAAGATGACTTTATCTTAAATATGAAGATAAAAGACCAAGGTAAGAGAGGGCACAACTCGAAAGAAGGATTGATCTAATTCAAATTGACGCTGTTGCCATTGCGGATACTTTTATACATTTGTAAAATAATGATGTACACTCTTAATCGGGTTAAGTAAATTTTATATCATGTGTTTGATAACGCCGAACACATGATATTTCAATTTATTTACCCAATATTGTACAATTCAAAAGTGTCCAGAAGAAATACAGCAAATAAGTTTCCTATTTCTTTTTCACGCTACGATAATTTTATTTTATTTTATAATACGCGTGAAATCGCTTTCAAACAGAATAAATAGTATCTGGAGTCATTCGGGCAAGGAGAGTGACTAAGAATAAAGTCTATAATATAAGCGTTAAGTAATAATACTAGATAAATTAACTGCTTTTCCTCCTAAACATAAAAATTCGCCCAAACGCATGTATATACTCTTGCCGATTTTATTACAAACTATTTTGAAATGCACCGATTATCCAGAAATAAAATATTATAGTAATTAGTGATAGTGATAGGCAAAATGACGCGTCAGTTGATCGTTTCGACACAACAATAATGAAAAGTGACATTTGCCTGTGGTTATTCTAGTTAATCCTTAGAATTTCGCGACTGCTCAGATGTCCATCTATATTCATTCATATATATAATCATTGGATCCATTCCTTATTATAAATTTGTTCTTTCAATTAGGCAACAGAACTCGCGTCATTTTATCACATGATAAAGTGATGTTTGATGTCGTTTTGTGCTACAAGATTAACATTTATCTTTCTTTTGATTGGCTATTATATCAATAAAATCTTCAATCTGGGCTTTTATCCAGAGGTAAGAATGTGCTTGAAAATGAGAAACACAGGTGTATATTGCTTTAGACACTTTAATATATCATGTGGACGAAAAATAAATGCGCATTGTAACGCGATATCTTTTAATCGTTTCTTTTTTGTTTCAAAGATAGTTACCTCGTAATATACATCGACTACTTTTTTTGAAAATGGAAAGTGAAGAATATTTGGTACAAAGTGATTCTGATTCAGACGGTAAAACGTTAGAAAAAGTTAAAGATTACCTTGAAAACTCACACTCAAATGTCTCGGCTGGTCCCTCATTTTCTGCGGTGAAGGTCCCCGGTTTTGAGGGTGATTATTTGTCTGATTCTTCTGTAGAAGAAACTATTCACATTCCCCCTCTTGAACCAACATATATTGGCAAAGGTAAACAGCGAGCTGATCCTGTAGATGAAGCATTATACGATCGTGGGCACGCGACTTCGAAGGGTCAAGGCGAAAATCCTCCTCGGCAACAGGAAAGCATGGAAGTAGACATTCCGTTGAATCAAGATAACGGCTTGACGCTGGATGATAAGGCTATAATGAGTCGTTGTTTGTCAATCTTTTCATCAATATCACCTAATTATCCAAATTGGGGTGCGGATGAAATCATGGTACCATGTCCGTTATCTGGAACTCAGCAAGAATCAATTGCGAATGTGCTTACGGATGTTAACTTATCCTATCATATGGGTAAGGCACCTGCCAATGAGAAGTCAAGAGAAAAATCCCCTTTTCGCGTGGCCATTGATGATTATCTTCAAATAATTAACAATACAATATTGGAAAGGAAAGAGAGTTCATCGAAATTTTATTCCAACAATCAAAGTCATAAGATCGCAATCGGCAACGGCAAAATAAAGATGCTTGAGACTTTATTGCCAATTCTAAGAAAATTTCCTATAAAGATCGGCATTGCATCCTCAATGATGGTAAAACGGGTCACTATATATCATTTAAATTTCGCATCTTATTATTGCCTATATATTAAGCTTTGTCAATTTTCTTGTTACTGAAAGGACACTATAATACTAGTTATGGATAGATGTAATCAAAGATATGGTATAATCAATGATAGAAGCAACAAATATCACAATAACCTATACGACGAACAGGAGCACACAAACAAGAAAGAGTCGTTCTGCATACTTTTCTCGACAGATTTTATAAACTTCTGTCCTAACGTTATGGTAAATTAATTAATTATATATATGTATTCTTAAATTCAATTTTCTATCGCTAACCCAGGTCATATTTCATTTGAACAGCCCAAATTGGACCTCATCGTCGCACATGACACATCATTCGATCCCAGTATGAGCCTCCATTTTTCCATGCAAAACCTACAAACTCCAATTCTTCGACTTGTTACTGTCGATTCGATGGAACAAATAATTGCTTATGGATTAATCAACAAAGTTTCCTACTTGGATAATTTTTCGTTTGAAAAACTCTCAAAGATTTTTTTCTTTGGAGTAAATAGGAAAAATTTCGAAATGACTGTTGGTGTTTACTGGAGGGATTACAAATTCACCGAGATTTGTGAAAAGATTGCAAATCACGTAAAAATTGGGAAATTGAATGACCTATCGTTCGGAATGGAGGATAGTGCCGAAAGGTGGATTGAAAAGAGTGGCTATAGAGGAAAAGATTGGTCCAGTAGTAGCGTACCGAGCGTCTACAGAAATTTCGACATAGAATCCTACGAACTTTCTAAGGATATTTCTGATTTATCGATCGATCATCCTACGCCGAAAGTTAATGGTTCGACAAGTAAAGTTTCTAAGAAGGAAAAGAATTCAAAACGGCAGGCAGTAAGAAAACTATGTATTCCCTATATTTATGATAATATCTACGTTATAGCATTTCAGTAACAGTTATATTGTTATTCTCTAGGAATCACAATTAACCTCTGATCCAAAGAAAATGCGACTTGACAAAGTGACCGAGAAAAATCCAGAATCAATAGTAAGATAATTTATTCTTTAAATTAAAACGACTTGAATGATTCAATTTTTTTTAGCCACATGCTTGATTATCTTATTGTTTCGAGCTTTTCAGGATACCAACGTTTCAGAAGGGTTGACAACATTGAAAAAGGAATTGACCGAAGTACTGCGTTCACAATTGAATGCCGCCAATCAGAAGCTGTCGTCCGCTAGGGCTGAAATAATAAATCTGCAACAAAAACTAGAACGTGCAAATAGTGACGAGCTTTCCAGATTACGGGAACAAGTAGTAACATTGCAGGATCGGTGTGAACGAGAACTAGCAGACAGAAAAAAAGAGATTCTCAGTAAGCAAAAGGAGATCGATCGGCTAAAGACAGAGTGTGAAAAATTGAAAGAGGATAAAAAGAATCTGGAGGAACAGACAACTAGCCTAAATGTCCTTAACGGAAAGGTTGCCTTAGATGCCAAAAAATCTAAGGATGAAGCCGACACAAAATTAAAAATATATGAAGTAGAAAGGAATCGTATGGAACAATTAAACATACAACAGTCTCAAACTATCACAATATTAAATGGTCGTGTGGATGAATTAAATAATCAACTGTTTCAACTGAACAGTCAACTGTCAGTTCAAGGCGAACATATGAAAATGATTAATGATGAAAAGGCTCGTTTGGCACAGCTTACTATCCAACAAACACAAGAAATTGGTCGGTTGAAATCCCTTAATAATGAAAACAATCGATTGAGTAGGCTGCCCAGGAACCTAGGATAAAAGATTATATCCGATTCATAACAGGTGAGCCCTTGTGCACGGTGAACAATTGACTTATAATAATATTCTATATTAATTATTTGTTAATTTAATAAGGGTATTGGAACATGTTCTTTGTTAAAAAGTCAAATGTCTACTCTCATTACTGATCGTTTTGTTTCATAGTTGACGAAACATTTCAATTTTCTTGTTCTATCAATCATGTGAATATTGTTTTTAGTGTTCATGCAATCCGAATATTTCCTCTACGTGTAGTGGCACGTAAAATTTGTTGACAATCGAACCGATATCGATGCAATTGATCTATTGGATTCGTTCAGTATTATACAAGTTATTCGATGTTTGACAAAAAAACCATCAATTGTAAAAAAAAAAAGGTCATTTGATTTTGCACATATGAATAAATACCTTACAAATTTTACTTCATTTAATCCTATTGTGTTATGCAATATTTATAAAATTGCATGAGAATAAGTTTTACACAGTTTATAAATTAATTATACAGATATACTGTATTAGTGATAAGAAATCAAGGTTATTAGATTAAAAAAAAAAAATCCCTCAAAAAATTTTTTAATTTATAATCAAACTATTTTTTTTTTAACCCACAATTATGCCACGATGGCTTGTTTTTATTGAAAAATTAAAATAAATCTACAATAATTTACAGACTTTCACAAAGTGACTAACTCATCTTTATATATAAGTATTTTAAGTCAGATTTTGGGGACAATATTATACTTCCCTAATAGATTGGTAATGACCTTTATCTATCAGGATTATTGTCAACAGTTTGTTACTGTTGATTGTTTGAAAACAAATAAATTGCTAAGTTAAAAAGAGGAAAAAGAAAAATGATTAAGAAAAAGAAACAATTCAAGGTTCATTCAAATAATTCAAAAATAAAAACAATCTCTTCTCAAAAGGAATCTACTTAATTGGAATAATCTTTTTGCTTCACTTGAACTTCAAAAAAAATCTTTTTTTTTATCACCTGTGATATCGAATAAGTCAATTCAACTAATTTTTTATTTAAATAAGTATTAGATTGAAATATCCCAAAAAAAAAGTATTTAAACCTTAGCTTTTTTTCATTAAAGCTTTGTCACTATTTGAAAAACTTATATAAGAAATGAAAGTTTGCAATTTATATTACTCATTACTTGATTTTTTAGTGTTATAAAAATCTTTATTAAGGGACTTGAGCTTTTGAGAAAAATCATTTCTGAAACATTCTTTTAAATCACTAATTATATTATTAAAGCACATAAATATAATCAATAAAAGCTTGTTTATATTCTAAAAACTAACATGTTTCATATCAACCAATCACTTTTGATGAGAATTTATATTACCTAAAATTCAGGATCAAATTTAAGTAAGTAAATTTCCAGAAAACTATGAGATTAAAAGTTTTAAAAGAATTAAAACAGTAAAAAAACAGTTTAAAAAGAAGAAAATAAATATTTTTATTACAAAAACCTCTATAAATCTCTTACTTAAAAGGTTAAATAGATCTTTAAATATTTTACAGTCAATTCTTTTTTCTTTAGAAACTTTCTTGACATTGGTATCAAAAATATTACTTGATTTTTCTTGGTCATTAGAAGTCAAGTTTTTGAGTGAAAAGATTTGTAAACAAAAAAAAAAATAGAAATAACTCATGAAATTATACTTCAAGTTGTTTTAAGAAAAGTATTAAGACATTATTAATAAAAAAGTATAAAAACTTCTTGTAAACATTTTTTTGATATTACTAAGAACATGATATAAAACTAATAATAGTTATCAGTTGAGAACTAGTAGATAAATAGTAAGACCTATCTTTTTAGCTATTTACTAGTCAAAATTATGTTATTCGGCTGCCAAATTATTGCAAAATTTGGCAAAAATTAATAATAAAAAGATTGACAAATTATTTATGATTGCTGCAACTCAGTATTAAAAATATTAATAAAAAATTAGCAAAAAAATATCAGCATTCTGCGAAAAAAAAAATTCAGTATAAAATCTGGTAATATTGTAGTAAAAAAAAAATTTTGTGATAAAAAATTTGACAAAAAAATTGATACTGTGACAAAAAATTCAACAAAAAAATTGATACTGTGACAAAAAATTTGGCAAAGAAAATTAATACTGTGGCAAAAAATTTGGTCAAAAAATTACTGCATAAAAAATTTGTCAAAAAAATTATTGCAGAAAAAAAAATTAGCAAAAAATTTATTGCAGCAAAAAATTTAAATTTCATAAAATTTATTAAAAATTTACAAATTCAATTAACTAAATTATTTGTCATTTTCCTCTTCCTCTTCCTCCTCTTCCTCCTCTTCCTTCCTTTCTACTGGCTTTTCTTTTTCTTTAAAGATCTCGGCTTGACTCTTTTAAAACTAGCCCCAATTGGTTTTACCTTGTGAATATTTTCTAAGATTTTTCACTTTGTTCTTTTAATCTAACTGCTCCTCAAATTTCATCTATTTATGCACTTTTTCCAATTTGTTCCTTACTCTTTGAATATATTAATGATTTCTTATATTTGATAATTTTTCATCTTTTGGATTCAACTACTGATTTTTTTCTTTTTTTTTGTTTCTTTTTCTTATTTATGTTCCAAAATTTCTTTCAAACTGTATACCCAATTCAGCAAGTCTTCTAGTGGCATCATATCATAGAAATATGAATCATCATGATATCATTTATCAGTCAATTGGAATGCTTGAATTGATTTCGAATGTTCATCCAAATATATCAACAAATCCTTGAACTATAAGAAATAATTATGATTAATATTATAATTATTTGGCATATAATATTTTGCTAAAGAATATCTTTTCAGAATGATAACTGTAATTATATACATTTATTCTTCTCTTAATGTGGTTTCCTGAATTAGTGTCACTTTCTTCAGGTAAATATACCTTTGTTTCTTTAATTACATTAGTTAATTCATTCTGATATTTGGTAACTTTCTTTGATCTTCATTCAATAAATGTCTATGTGCTTTTAATTCTTCGTATTCTTTTCTTAATTATTCATTAAAAATTAATACTTGAAGGTAATATAAATGCAGAATATTATTAATCTTACTTCATTTAACTGGTTATTTGCATGTAAGTGACGATTGTCCGCTTCCAGTTTTCCAATTTCTGCCTTCTGATATCTTTCTCTCTGATGGCAATGTAAAGCACCTAACTATTCGTTTATTTGCTTTCATAAAAGATTAAAATGTGGGGTCATGGATTTTATTAATTCGGGTTAATGATAGGTCCTTAAAGTATTTAGTATATAAAATTTCACAGATCACTTATGTCCTTTTTTAAGGGACAAAATTTATGGCTTTTTACTTTAATAGGAAAAAAAGTTAGGAAATACTATAAATCAATGATTTAGATAATTAAGAACAATTGTGGATAGTTTTTTTATAGTTATTAATTTAAAAAATTTAATATTTTCTAATAAGGAACATTTGACTTATGTCCCTGCCTCCTCCTTTAGGGACTTATCTTTAATTCGAGTATCAATTTTTGTAATAGTTTTTTATTCACATCACTTGAAAAAACTTTGTCTACTCTCAGTTTATATTTGTCAAGATTAGTTTTCATTAAGGCCTTCATTTCTACTCACGTTTCTTCTAGTTTCAGCTTATCTTCAGTAATCGGGTTTACTGGTTTTACCTCTTTACTACTCCTCCTAGGTTGAATTCTTCAATGCTTTCCTAAACTCAGCAAACTTTTAGATTCTGATATATCAGTTGCTCTAGATTCTACAACAACTATAGGATCAAGTTCAGGTTCCACAGATTTGAGCCAATCAATTTCCTTTTTTAAATCATCCTTCAAAGCAACAATGGTACAAAGACAGAAGTATCAGTCCGAATAACAACTAATGGCTCCAGTGATTTAG